CTCTCTGTCTTGCTGTTGAGTGCAAAGACCATACAGACAATACCTCTCAAAAAAAAAAAAAGAAAGAAAGAAAGAAAGAAAGAAAGAAAGAAAGAAAGAAAGAAAGAAAAATTCCAATGACACCTGTTAAGACAGGATAAGGAAGACTTTATTTGGGATCAGTAAGTTAGGTACAGGGACCACTGTGATAGAATCTTAGGTGGGAGAGAGATTGGGCTCAACTCTGAATACTACACTGACAAATGGGAGTTTATGGCCAAGGAGCAGGGGAGGAGTGCGCGTATGGAAAATTGCATAGAGGAAACATCAGGAGTAGGGGGAATTCTGGCTAAACCAACCTATCAGGATTCTTGCTGAAGACAGACCCGCATGATCAGACATCTGCAAGGCACCAGCGTAGTGGAACCTCCTCAAACACTGAATGTGATCAGATATCAGGGGCTAGAGGAGGGTCTTGCTTAACTGATCTGGCAGGCTTCTTTGCTAAAACTGACTTTTATACACAAATGTATAGACATACACAGATGGGCTTAAGGGACGTTTCAGATGCTTTTCTAAAGTTTGGCCAAGAAAAGAATCTTGGTCATCCCCAACTTTTTTTTCAATGTAAAATTACTATTGCTATGAATATGGGTTAATGTTTTTAGAGTAAGACATTGTACTCAGTGCACCCTATGGATGACTTCATTTGGACTCACACCAAGACTCAGTGATGTAGGTTTAATTATCATTCCACCACCTGCCTTTGGAGAGATGAAGTTCTGACTAAGACTGGGGAAAGCTGGGTAACTGGGCTCACCTTCTCCCCATGTCCTGGTCTCTGAGCATTGCCGTTTAGTAGAACTTTCTGTGAAGAATTTTTTCTGTGCTCTCTGGCATGATAGACACTACCCATGCATTAGTATGGAATACTTGAAATGTAATGAGTGCGACAGACCAGCACACACACACACACACACACACACACACACAGTAAAAACCCTGAATGTTCATTTTACTTAAGCAACTAAAATGTAAATAGTCACATTTTAGAGCTGTGTAGTGCTATGCAAATATAGAACATTTTGCTGATGCAGGAAGTTCTATGGGACAGAGCTGTTTACAAGACATACTGCATCTTTTCCTTTCACTCTGGTTAGACTCTAGGAGTCCTTCTTTGCTTGACTCCCATGAAAGCATACGCAGAAGGTCTTCCCCTTCTCCTTCTCAGCTTCTCCAACCTTCCAACCTCAAAGAAAGGAGATTCCTCTCCTCTTTGCCTCCTACTCTGCTTCCACGCTGCCTAGCCCCACACCAGCAGCCACGTGAGCAGCTGCTAGCAGGGAGCCCCAAAGGGGTAAGCAGATAGAAGTGATCTTTCTATATTAGGCACTGCCCATCCGCATTACTTCATAAACCACAATTACAGAACTCTTAAAGGGTGGAAATCATGCTGCCAGTGATAGAAGCAAGCACATGAATTCACTTCAGCATTCAATGAAATAAACAAAATACAGTATTGTCTTGGACTTTGCTGGAACACCTGTAAACGGTGACTTAGAAGGGAGTCTGTGAGGTTGCTTTTATTCTTCAAGACTTTGGGAAAGAATTTGTGGTCCTATCTTATTTAAATGGAAAGTAGGACTGATTTGCCAACCAAAACAATGTTTAACTAGGAGAACTATTTTTTTCTGAGAAGCAAAGGTATTCAAGCCTTTAGCCTAAAGACCTTCACAGTAGAGAATTCAGTGCTCACTGAGGTCCCTACCTTTGTAGGTTCATTTTCAATGCAAATGAATTCTTTGACAAGCTGCCTTTGTGCCTTCCTATGTGAGTTTTAAACATACTAACTAATCATCGGGTAGATTTTGCCTAGAGCTTCCCCACCCCACCCCACCCCCAAGTGAAAATAGGATTTGAAGTAGATATAGATTTAAAGGGCAGAAAACTGATGTGGGTGGGGTGGAGGGTGTGTGTGTGTGGGCGGGGGCTCAAAGTAGCCAGAGGATAGAAGGAGGCCTTGCTGCTGGCTGATTAGTAACTTTCCAGTTCCCATCTCACATTTTCCAAAAAGTCTAAATCCCCTTGAACCTTACATCCACATAATGAAGGGCTCCTGTTAAAATACAGATTGTGGTTTAGGGGTTCTGCACTTGGGCCTGAGATTCTGCATTTTTTTAAAAAAAACCCTCCCACGTGATGACGTTGCTGTCATTTCTCCACCCTGTGGGGGTTAGGTCAGGCACACGTGCTGGGCAAGCCACTGGGCGGGGATTGGAACCACAGTCAGCCTTACAGTTAGCCCGGAAGCGGGCTTGCGTGTGGTACCTCCTCGCAGACTCGGAAGCTTCTTTCGGCTTTAACGTTTGGGGAGCTGGGCCAACCCTAGCATCATTCAGAGCAGTGGCATTTGCTGGGGGCATGTTTCGTCCTGGACACGCCTGCACTTCACTCTCATCATCTTGTAAGCAACCAACTTGAGTTGGTTGGGAGCAAGTCTTGTTCTTTATTTTACAGGTGAAGAAACTGGTTCCAGAGAATTCAGCAGGTCGCCCAAGGGTACGAGTGTGTCAACGTCTCTGGAGAGTTGATCCAGGTCTGAGTTCAAGAGAACACTTTTAACTATCGCTGGCGCTTGCTGTAAAGTAGGAAGGACTGGCTCTCAGGGGCCAGACTTCTGCCAGATACACCTAAAGGCCTCTGTATTCCTCCCTTCTCGGGATCTTGATCTTTGCGTAAGGAAAGTTCTTCCTGAGAACACAGAGCCCGCGGGGCTCGGCTTGTCGAGGTCAGGGGCACACACAGCTGTTCCAGGCATTCCCGGAGCGAGCGAGCTCTGGACACACACCGCGGGCCGCTGCCTTACATAACCGCGCGGCGTCCCTCCTCCCGCGCCCCTCTCCCCGGGTCCAACCGAAGCACGCAGAACGGAGCCCAGCGATAAATCCCAGTGGTTTGCGGGACAGAGTCCCAGGCGGAGCTGGCGGGGCAGAACGAGCCACCGCATTTCGGGGGCCAAGCTCCAGGATTTTCCCCGCCACGCGTCCCTCCCCGGCGCTGTCCGCGGAGCCCCTGGCCCCAGCCCTCCGGCACCTCCTCCGGCACCTCCTCCGGGTCGGCTCCCCGCCCCTCAGAAGCGGGACCGCGGCGCCTGGGGCCCGAGAAGGGGCCACCGCGCAGGGACGCGGCACAGCGGGTGCGCCCAGGGGCATGTCCGCGTGCCTCCACCAGGGCTGCAGCGGTCCGAGAGAGGTGAGGACGCGGCGGGGCCAGAAGGGGGCGGCCCTGCAGGGGGGCGGGCTGGACGGTGCTGATCTGCGCCCTCTGGGCAGGCTGCGGAGCGCTGGGGCGCCTGCTCAGCCGAGCTGTCCTGGCTCAGTCTCGCGAGTGACTTCTGTTCCTGGTCCCCAGCGCCCGGGCGGGGAAGCCCCCCCGGCTCAGCCTCTTCCCGGTCCCCAGCTCGGTTGTGCAGAGCGCGCGGTGGTTCAGGTGACACGGGCATCCTTCAGGGAGGACGGCGGGGTGCTGGGGCTGGGCTGGCAGCTGGCGGAGGACCTGGACGCTCGATTCTCTCTTCGCTGCCCCAGCGCCAAGCGGGAGCAGCGCCTCCGCGGCTGGGAGTCCGCCGCCCTAACTTGGGTCCCTCCACGTGCGGGTTGGGTTGGGCGCGAGACACGTGCCCGCTGGCACCGCCGGTTCAGGGCCCGCGCTCCGGCTGAGTTTACCAGCAGATAGCTGGTCAGGCTCAGCTTTAATTTAGGGTCCTGTGGTTTAAGTGCAGAGTTCCCAGTGCAATGGGGATCGTCTTTCTTCTGAATTCTCTCTTCTCAGTCTATTTTAAAAGCTGGTCCTCCCTCTCCCCCTGCCTCAGACATAATATTTATATCCTGTGTGTGCTTTATTAAAACAAACAAACAAACAAAACAAAACAAAACAAAACAAACTTCAACATCTTCAGTGGATTAAGCTTAATTTGTCCCTTTGGTTCTTGTCCACAAAGACAAGCAATAATACCTGTGGTGTGGACTGATGCAAATACTCATGGCAACATTTTAAGGCAAGTAAATCCTGAACTATTTGGTTAGTTTTCGGTTTTCACAACTTGGCATTCTAAACTTCTTAAAACTTATTTTTTTTTTTAATGCCAAGTTAGATGGTTCCTGCGAGGACACTGATTAAACACCATTTCCAAGGGCTTCATAATGGTTCATTCTGTTTCATTCTACCTGTTTCTTTGCTGAGCCCTGGGTGTTCCAATAGCACAGCCTGCCTGCCTAGCCCGGATCTGAAGCTTGAGGTTGGCCACATTCAGAAACACGGCCTCAGCAAGTATCTGCGTTCACGAGACTTTAAAATCTTCGTGTCTCTTGCATAGCTTGCCCCCCTCCCCTCCATAAAGGTCATGCCAAACTGGAGCTACTGGTGCTGGGATCCTGCAACGCCCACAACACTGAGCTGCTGAGGAAGTGAAGGGTAGAAAGGAGTAAGTGTTAGAATGTGATCCTTTAGAACCGCAGGATCTTAGAAACTAAAGAGGTTTAGAGAACAGTTACTGAATTCAAATCCTTCACCCTCCGACCAGGAGGCTCAGATCCCTGTCTGCAAAAAAATCGGCCTAATTCATTCTGTTCACTGGAGGTGGATCACACTAGGTCTCAGGCCTTCTGATTCCTCCTAGTTCAGCTTTCAAGGTTTATTGCCTCCTGGTGCGTTGAACAGAAATGATAGGACTAGAATCACCTCATTTTATTTTCCTGTTACTTTTCATTTATCTCCCCCCCAAAGATGTGGGCATCCTGGTAGAGTTAAGGCAGAGTTGGCATGAACCAGGTCCAGAATGCCAGCCTGCCCTGGGCTGCTGTTCTCCCAGCAGTGTGACACTTGCCCAGGGACAAGACCACCTAGGCAGCTGCCTCAGCTGGGGTTCCTCATTTTTTTTTTCAGTTTTGCTAAAGGGGATGTGTGCTCAATGGAGAGAGACAAAGACAGAGGGAGGGAATGTGAGAAATCACCCCTCAGGGGAAATGGTCATGCTGAAATTCCTTCTCCTCCATTCTCCTCTGGATCTGCGGCATGCATGCCCATGTGTGCAGCGTCATTTTCAAGCTGCCGGGCCCAGGACTCAGACTGCACTCTGGGATCCAGAGTGTTAACCTCCATGCCACCTGCTAGCCCCCATTTATCTTATCTTATCTTATCTTATCTTATCTTATCTATCTATCTATTTGTACTAGTGGGCTTCTGAAATAGACCAGAAATTGTTTTGGAAATTCTTCTTTTTTGGGGGGGGGGAAGTTTTTTTCTATAGGGCGCATATGTTCACCAGAAAGACAGAGAGAGACAGAAAGACAGAAAGTGAGAAAACACCCCTCAGGGGGGATGGCCACGCTGCAGTCCCTTCTCCTCCATTCTCTTCTCTGGATCTCAGGCACGCACACACATGCGCCCAGCATGAGTTTAAGCCACCAGGTCCGGGACTCAAACCACGGTTGACTACATGGGAGTTCAGTGACATAGCCATTACGCCAACTGCTGGTTCCTTAAATTCTTCTTATATGAAGATGCATATGCAGCTACATCCCAAATAAATGCCCAGAAAAAGAAAAAGAATCAAAACAGATGACAGTAAGTCTACCCGCATGTGTGCTCAGGGTCTCTGGGTCCTCTGCTCCCTCTGGTGATGACAGATTAGCGCTCACGGCACCATCTATGATGGTGGAGCCAGCTTGAGAAAAGTGGCGTATGTGAGGACCACTCATTGTCATTAACCTCACAGCCAATAATAGACCTAGGAAAATAACTGTCAGCTGACATTTTTTTTTTTTGCATTCATTGCACTGAGTATTTTTCATGTTTTTAATTGTTCAGCTTCACAAATATATAGGTACTTCAAAAAGTCTGTGGAAAATGGAATTACAGTATGAATTCATTTTTGGTGCAAAAGTTTTTGAAATCCACCCTTAGTTTTTTCATAGTATGCATTTTCTATAGACTTTTTTTTTGAAGACCCTTCACATCTGAGGGTCTGTTACATGGCCAGGGCTGTTCAGGGCATTCGTGATGTGTCAATGAACAAAACAAAGAACTTTAATCCTGTGAAGTTCAGGTTATAATCATTTATTAGAACTTTTCCATGATTCAGTTGGGCAAGTAGAAGAAAATTTCAGTTTTACCTGAAGTAGGGATATGGGGGCTAAAAGGGGTTGTGGTGCTTAAGGTGCTGGACTCCACATGGTCACCACAGTTCAAGTCCCAGACCTGGTGTCTTGCTTTCTCACTTTCCCTCTCTCTCTGTCTCTCTCTAATCAAATTAAAAAATAATAATAAAATTAAATAAAATAATTCTTTAAAAAAGAAAGTAGGAACATGAACTTAAATGTTTTAAACGTTCTTCCTTGATTGCTATGATTCTGCTGATTGTATCACCATGGAAAACAAACAAATCCAAATGAAATTACTTTGGCTTTTTTGAATCAACTGTACATGAGTGACAGTTTGTACCTTTGGTTATTTCATGTCTGTTCAGTCTGAGCCCATAAAATTACATTTCATTTCCTGCAGGGTTATCATGGTGGTGCCTTTAAACTTAATGAAGCATAGAAGGACTCATTTTCTCAAAAGTGTTAATGCTGCCCTGTTAGAGCTGGAGACCGTAATTGCATTAGTCTGTAAGAGGTAGCTTTTAACTTATTTATGAAGTGGGCATTCTGTTTTTATTTTGTCTCACTTTACATTTTGTCTCCTACTCCCTTCCTCATTGTTGTGACTTATTAGTAGATCCGTTACCATGGTTGTTTTCCCATTTAATCAAATATCCTAGTTTTAAGCATTTTCTAATTCTCTCAATTGCTTTTTCTTCAAAACCACATGGTCTGCAAGCTCAGGCATGTTTATTGTTTTTAACAAAGGCTTATCAAAATGAACTTGGCAGTTTTTCAGTCGTATAACAGCCAAAAAAAAGTATTCAGTGCAGCTTTTGAGATTGTTTATGCATTCCTCACCTAAGCAATTGCTTAGCTTTTAAAAACTGCCAATTTGGAAGCTGTTTTCTTATGAATGCTTTTCTAGTATATTTTAGAAATCACCCATGAAAGTGGATAATAATATAATTGAGAAGAACAAAATCCACAGCTAAAGATGGAGAATTTTGAGCACAGATTTTCTGTTTTTGTTTTTAATTTTTTTTAATTTCAGAGATGTACACTCTCCACAGAGTGATAGAAGTGGGGAGGGGGCATCTCCAAATGAGGCATGGTCAGATCAAATCCTTTCTTCATTTCTCTGTCCTGTCTTGATTTTGGGCATGCACATGTATCTGCTTTGTTTTTCAAGCTGCTAGAGCCAGGATTTGAACTGCAGTCAGCCATGGAACTCTGACTCCCTTAACTACTAGGCTATGAGACCAGTCCTTTTCTGCCTCTGTGGTTTTTTGTTTGTTTGTTTTTTAGAGAGATTTTTGCTATAGGGCACATGCACTCCCTGGAGAGACAGAGAGAGACAGAAAGCAAGAAACCACCCCCTGGGGGGGATGGCCATGCTGCAATCCCTTCTCCTCCATTCCCCTCTCAGGATCTTGAGCATGTACGCCCATGTGCTCTGTGTGAGTATTAAGCCCCTGGATCCGGGACTCAAACCATGGTCAACCACGTGGGAGTCCAGCGACAACCATTACAACATCTGTGGGTCTCTCTGCCTCTGTTTTTAATTTGCTCTATATCAAAGGACATCAGGAAGTGTCATAATCTCATAGAGTCTCATTTAAAGCTGGTTTCTGTTGAGTACGTGGAAGAGAGTCACACTTTTTGATGTCTGCTGGACACTTGGAGTCATTGTTTTTTTCTTTATTCACCCACCACTTTGTCCTATCAAATAGATACTCATCTCTCTCTTACTTCACATCGGTGAGTAGAGTGAGCTGCTGTAAGTAGGAACTGGCGTGTCATCATTTAATTCTTTAATCAATGAGCCATGTATTTATAAATTTAATAATTATTTACTGAGTTTCTACTCCTTATTAAAGGTCTGTGTAAAGATCTTGTCCCAAGCATTTCCCTTTCTGTGTTGTGGGCAGCAGGTGATATAAAAACACAACCTGCTTTCGAAGCAGCTTTTAGCCTGATGGGAAAGCAAGGACACTGTATGACTGGCTGGAGTACCACTTATAACTACCATTGAAGACAGATAAGGCCTTTGGAGATTAAAAAGAAGGAACGAGAGTGTGCAGGCACTGTGAGGAGTTGAGGATTAGCTGT